AAATTCATATTTTTATTATATACAAATTCATGGAAGGACCTATGAAGTAAAAGAAATTCCCAATAAAATTTTATAGGAAAAAAGTTGTCTACATTCCTGTGTGTGAAAAGGAATATTATTTGAATCTCTATCCTCGCAAAGGAATCCTCATAGAGTTTTGTGGGTTTCAAAGCAAATTGTCATCCTTGTAGAGGACAAGTCTTATATGTTTTTTTTTATTTTTTTATTTTTTGATATTGATTACACAATAGAAAGTAACTCTCTCTCATCTCTTATCCCACCACATCCATATGTCATGCGATTTAAACTTAAAATTTTTTACTTTTAGCAAAAAAAAATTAACATTGAGCTACTTTGGTCATTAGCAACAAGTCTTATATTTTAATAAAGTACAATAATTGAAAATTGAAATTCATGAAGTATAAGAATATTTGAAATGCATATAATTTTAACTTTGAAATAAAAAGTCTCAAATATATATATTTGGGTCAAATTCAAACACATCATATTTAAGTAAAAACAAACAATAAATTTAAATTTAAAACTCCAAATTCAAATACACTCCATCCAAATTCAAATACACTCCATCCAAATTCAATTCTCTAACATACCCTAAAAGAATAAAAGGTGCGAAGAGCCCGAATTATTAATTTAAAGGGACGAGTAGACCTTGTGTAACACTTGTGCCCCAGTTAGGCCAACTACTGCAGTAAGTATTAATTGATTTAATTTCTTGAATAGAAAACTTCCAATCAATGCCTCCCCAAGCAAGTCAAGCAACAACATATAGCTGTGCCCGTCGTTAGGATGTGACTATGGCCACATGTGCTAATTGTTATGTCTACATATATTATAAGAAAAATTCCTCAATTGCGATAATTTTTTTCAGTATGGGTTGTTGTAATAGAGGGTACTGTAAATATTATTTTAGTGTAAACTGTAGTAATAAAAGGCATCGTACGGGATAATTTTTTTAACAATTTTTTAGTGATAATTTATCTTTTTTTATAAGTTTATAATTTTTTAAAATAATTAATTAAGATGTGTAAAATTATTTGTTTATAAATTAATTTTAATTTATTAAATAATAAATATTAATTATTTTATTAATTATCAATTATTTTTAATATTTAAATTAAGATAAAAATTGAATAAATTGTGTTACCTAACAAATTTCCTTGCGTCCATAACCACTCACCCTTCCTTGGGGGCAAGTTTTATAAACAGTCATTTGTGATGAGTAAGGCTTCAGGGTTGGCTTGGATTCGCTGATCAATGTCTATTATGAGATCGGTTAAAAAATTTAAAAATTAAAAATTTGTTTAAAGATAAAGTGGGTATTAATTTTGACTTTTGAAATAAATTGAAGTTACAATCTTAAATTATATTATTTTAGTTAATTAAAATTTAATTTAAAATTTAAAAATTTATTTTATTAAATATTAATATTTAAT